GAACTAGTTTCATCAGTGAATATAACACAAGACACAATTCATTGGCTAACTCACATTTTAACAATGTAAAGACCAAGCAATATTATAATTTTTCATTAAATATGGCACTTCGTTTTTTCTTACAAAGAAAGGATCATTATTCAAAATCTCAAAAACAACAAAGAAGGAAAAAAATTTATAATTCCAAACATTTCAAATTGTAGTTACTATATTTTAAAGCCAAGATTTAATTTGGTGGGTTGTTTCATACTACACGTTTATTCTGTACTGTGTTTGTTTATTTGTTTGTTTTTCATTAAGCTTTTGTAAAGATATATTCCGTTTATTTTTCTGAGGATCTTCAAAACCTTCTGCTATCTAGTACAAGCTTTGCTTTTACAAGCAGGCAGGTATGTACCGAAATACTTTTTTTGTGTGGTGATTAGTGACCGTTAGTCGACGATTTTTCAAAAATACTTTGATTGAATATAAAAAATATTTTTTTGCATTGTATAAATTCACTTTTTCCCACATTCTACATTTATTTGTTAAATTTAAACAATGTTTGTAAATCCCAGGCCCTGAAGATGTTCTCAATAAAGATCGAAACGTTGGCACGATAAAGAAAATGTTTTTCTGAAATCTACATCACTTCCGAATGATCATAATATTTTTTGTTGTAAATGTATATGTAATGTACATTCTTGCAAATAAAGATTTATTATTATTATATGTAACTTTATTAAATCTTTATGAAGAACCGTTTTACAGCAATAGGTATGCATAGAATGAAAAAAAAACACACAAACATCTATGAAAATTATGGATAAACCGGTTACTATTTTTATTCAAAAAGAGGAAACATGTACTGAGTAGGAAGTGAGTTTATTTAAGCCTACATAGTTTAAATTTAAACATAAAATTTTCGTATTTAACATCTCCAATTAATATCCTATAGTACTTAATGTACAATTTGTTTAATCTGTTCTTAAAATATGACAATTTTTATAGTAACAGGTAAAAATGAGAGAGGAAACGGCAAAAAATGGTTTTATTCTCAATATTATTATCTTTGTCATTTACAGACTTTTATGAACTCAAAAATATATAGATGATTGAAAATGGGATTAGAGATTGGTTTGGAAGACAACGTTAATGAAATTACAATTTTAAATTTTCCTCCATGATTATAGAAAAATATAATTTCTAATAGAAATTGAACAATTTACTTATTCCCTTCTTGCAATTTCCTGTCTTCCAGACAATCAATTTCTGTTCTGGCTACATCACTTTACCATTCAACAATGTTACTGGGTGGAAGACATCATCGCATCTTCTCTTGAGTGGAAGCAATGCTGCTCGCGGTGCCTTCTTACACGTAAAGCAGCCTTCGATTGAGTGAGGCGCCCTGGCATGTTATTTATTGGCCCATCCTATAACCCGATCTGTCCGATACGTACTTTCAAGTAGTATGGGAAAATTCTTTCCCCTATCCACGACGCCGATGCAGTTCCGCACAGAACACGATATGTCGTGGCGGGCAGCGATCTGACGATCTGTCTCAGTGGTCAGCGATATTGTACGCCACACAGGAAACGCCAGAAGGTGCTCGAAGCTATTAGGTCGTGTACTATGCTAACTCCTAGCATATCCTAGCATACACTTAACGTTCCTTGGCAAAATGATCTCACGGTAATAAAAAAATCATTTTTAATTTTGTTAATTTGTGTATATTGTGGATTGTAGTGTGTACTTAGAGCTGGGATAAGACCCAACTTCTCATTGTGTGTTGCTCAGTTCAGAAAGAAAGAGAAGCTGGGTTCATGAAATAAACAATTTTATAATCTTTCTCGTTTGTATCTTACAAAAATACACACTTAAAAACTTTTTCTATGAATTTTTCTTTTTCCTCGAGTAAACACATAGACGATATCGCCATCCTTTCAGAAAGCCCATGTACAAGTTTAAAAAACTCCAGGATCAACTCGCTTGTTTAGAAGAATGGTTCAAAAATTGAAAATCAGACAACAAAACCAACCCTTTCGCCAGTCACCTCTCCTCCTATCCACTACAACATTGTGCCCCTCCCAGATACCAATGTCGTCAGCCTTTTTTAGTCATTTGCATAAATATAAGACTTATTTGGAAGCTTGATATTCGTCTAAGGAGAATAGAATTGACCAGACAATATAAACTACTCAAACAGACTCTTGTAACAATAAAGAAAAAAACTTACTTCTATATTTTGAGATTATAATTTGATATTTGATATGATAAGAAAAGCATATGTCTCGTAATTGTTTTATTTTTCCTTTAAAAAAAAGTATCGAACCATTGAATAGCGGTTAAACCTTTGAATAAAGTTGAATTTGTTTTAAAATATGTTCTCATTGTTGGTTTCCTTTTTGCCTTTTAGGTAATTGTAAATATGCCAAAAATTGTAAATTCCAGCCGACAAATGGATGGACAGACAATCTGCTAAGCCCGCACAACAAAGCTGTAAATCCTTTTGCATGCCTTCTAAAGGACAATATAAACTGCAGAATATACGAATCGTTACAATTCATCCCACCCCAAAAAAAACTCTTAACACTCTGTTTATTCAAACTTTATGGCAATCGAGATATACACGGATCAGATAATTTATTGTTAACCCGGCGCCATTTTGTTTATGATAACCCTCCCACATAGGGATTGATGGAACTCCCTGGAAATGATTGTCGCCGATGATTGGGGAAGAGTCCCACGGGACCGGGGCGAGGGACGCGATTAGCTAACTCCCCGAGAGTTGTAAAAGCCTGAGTTGGAATCGAACTCGACCCAATAAAATGACTCGCTCCGATGATAATGTTTTTATTGAAGGGGGTCGCAATTATTTCTTGGGTCCTCGATACTCGCGATAGTTGTTACAATCTGAATTGAGGACAGGCCTGGAGTAATGAAACGATAAATTCTACCTTGGGATAACGGCTGTATTACAGTTTGAATTCCTAATTTACATGTTAACTCATCATAAAACTATTTTTTTCATATTTGAAAAACTCTAGTAATTTAGCTTGAATAATAACTTTTATACTATTTTAAAGTTTATTAATCAAATGATAATTTGAAAAAATATGTTGTACGTTACGATGAAACTCTTTGAAATCTCGGCGAAAAAAAATTTTTTGGCTTTCAAATTGGCATCGATGATTCTCTTTTGATGTAAAACAAAAAAAGCAACAAATCGTATGTAGAAAAGCATTTAAAAAATCGACCACAATGTATTAAATCTCTTAACAATTATTTCAAAAATACCTTTTCAGTTTCACATATACGAATAATATGTTTAATAATCGTCCTTGGCGTACCATATTTTGTAAGATAAGAAACAGCACTTTTACAAATTAACTCGTCTTTCCGCGATGAGAAACTAATTTTTTCCTTTTTATAAATAATGTATATTTATAAATAGCGAAACATTGATTCTTAAAGGAAATAGGTTAAAATTAAACCAGCAAGTTTATCGTCATGAAATAAATGTTGTTCATTTGTTCATGGAGAAAATGTGGATAAATAGTCTTGGTATTTATTCTATATTTCCTACGAAAGTATTATCATTTTTAGTAATCTATTTAAAAGTAAGCTAATTTCTGTCATACATTCCAGCTGAATGTCGGGGATGAGAGGTCACGACCACTTAATAATTTTTACAAATGAAACTCAAATAAAATTCCAAGGGCTGTGCCGGGATTCGAAACCGGATCCTGTAGATTGAGAACTACGTCGGACGCCCCAATTACTCAGTCATGGCGATCCTTAATAATATTATTATAAATAATTGTTTTACAAGGATATTGGGTCTTCAGACAGATTTGGCAGAAAAATAGGGTCTTTAAGTTGCCAAACATAATAATGAATCAGCAAAACATAAAATATGGTTTCTGTAGAAAATTTGAACTGAGATTACGTGGCAACACCTCAACAAATGACTGTACCTTACTGTTGCAAAGAAATTTGATGAGTAAAAGAGATCATCTTTAAAGATAAAATTATGCTTCTATTTTTAAACCAACAATGTTTCCAAATTAAAAAAAGTAAATGTTTTGGTTCAAAAGAATATTTTTCAAGAATACTCCATTTTATATAAATTTATTTATATAAATAAATGAATCAAATGGACATAGTGATTATATATTTGGAGATTATTCTACTTTCTACGGTTGATGCGTTTTATTTTGAGAAAACAAAGATTTCTTAAACTTGGCAAATATTGTTTAACGATAGTTATTTAGACCAGTGAATAATTTACTTTGAGGATACATATCTATAACTGGAATGCAACACGAAAATTTTCCAATGTCTCCTCTCTGAAGCACCCTTTGTGTTTTAACATATAATAAAAGGGTCGTCGTCCCATCCATTCTATGGTAAAACGGAGCTACATTTTAGTCGGGAGTATAAACATAACCCCTTTCGAACATGAGGGTTGTATTAAAAATGTGTATGTACTTACTTTTGTGCGATTTTCTTTCTCAAAACATCCTGTTTCCTATGCGAAGTCATATATTTCCGGTTTCAGTTGCCATAGTTTGACCATTTTTTAATGAAGGCATTATTGTCGACTAATTAAAAACTGAACTGCTCAAAGTTTCAAAATAAATTGAATGATTTGTGATTTATAATTTTAATTTAATTTTGAAAAATGACAAGATTTGTAACATATTAAGGGTTATTTTTATAACAAAATCGTTCTTTACGTATAAATCAACTTTTACCACGTGATCTCGTAATGTTTTTGTCGATGCGACCTCATTAATCAAACTATCTTTCTTGTTTGGCCACTGGACGGGTCACGGGGTCGCAGATAAATCAAGATTTCAATTGAGGATTGTTAACAATGATGACTACAGTGTTAATTTTGTAAACGTTTATTGACTTTCCGTTAGCACTAAAGAATTTTCCTGACGGGTTCCAATTCAATATTAACTTAAAGCATATACCATAAATATATTGTTACATTGAAAATGAATCGTGTTTACCTTAGTTAGTCCTGGCGGAGTGGTTTCCAGTCTAGACCCATGAGCATCCTGGAGGTCTCGAAGGAATCCAACAATCGCACACACTCACACAAGGTAACACGATCACATACACACACATATTTTATATATATTTAGATTAGCACATATTTCTTTTCCTATTCACACTGTACACAAAAAGATGACGAAATAATTGTCTCTATACAAAATACAACAAAAATAATCTTGTTGAGAGGACTTTTTAAAAACTCAAAACGAAATACATAACAAAATTCAACAAAAATTGACCTCCGTTTCTCCCGGGTGCACAAATGTACAAATTGTCTTTTATTTATAAATTGAGGGCTCCCTTTCACGAGGGGTGGTCCGACAGGTAAAAATGACTCGGGGGGGGGGGGGATATAAAATGACCGTTTTACAGTACACGTTCATTCAGGGGGGAGGGGTTGGATTTAAATTATACAACGAAAATTTGTTAAATGAAACTAAAAAGTCCTTTAGTGGTCTTGCTGCTGTTGAGCCGCTAACGCCGCAGCCGCAGCAGCCTTCTGCGCCTGTGCCTGCTTCTCCTGCTCGTTCAGCTCCTTGATCGCCTGAATTTCCTTCTTCAACTTCATCCTCCGGTTTTGAAACCAGATTTTGATCTGCCTCTCTGTCAGGCAAAGGGCGTGAGCCATTTCTATCCTCCTCCGCCTCGTAAGGTAGTGGTTGGTGTGAAATTCCTTTTCCAGCTCCAGTGTTTGGTACCGTGTGTACGTCTGCCTCCCCCGCCTTCTTAGGCCGTTCGCCCCTGAAAAAAGTCAAAAATGTTAGCAAAACGAAGCATTTATGTACATACCACATATATAGACTTATATAGTTTTATGGTGACTAAACTATACCTAAGTTATGGATAGAATATACCATATCTTTCTCTCTCTCTCTCTCTCTCTCTCTCTCTCTCTCTCTCTCTCTCTCTCTCTCTCTTTGTATCTAAATATCTATATATCTATTTATCTATCTGTCTATCTTACTGTTTCACAAAGAGCATAGGTGTACTGAAGACCTAGCAAACCTGGGTCTTGTGTTTTATCTGAACATTTGAGGATGAGAGTGCTTCTATTTACATCTCCACAACATTTAATAAAACATATTCCGGGGCCTTCAGAATTATGATGTGTCTAACAGTATAAGGCTTGAAAAGATCTACCATTGGCAAATGTCTTTAACAGAGTAAAAGAGACGGAGGGAATTGTCATATATATAAACCGACCAAATGAGCTTGTTAAAGTATAATTAGGCAAAAGGGGCGGTCGGGGGTGGAGGCTGCCGAGTGAGAAATCGCTGGTTTAATGCGGAGGAGAACATTAGCCGATATGATCAGTCCTTGGGAAAGGAGTTGGTCGGTTTTTGTTGGCGCGGGCGTATCCTGGCCATGATCCAAGTTGGCCCATGGATCTCGAATGGCTATTAGCCGAGTTCCCTCCACTCAGAAACGAACAGGCTATCTGCGACTGCATTCATGGTAGTAATTTTTGGGAAAAAAATAAATCGCCTGATAAGTTTTGTACATTAATTTTTTACATGATACAATAAAGCCGCGAGTTGTGATTTATCTTTCAGTAGGCCTTAAATTTTAACATGAACCTATTTTTTTGTATCTACAGTGAAGTTGATAATTTTTAAATAAGAGGTCCACAGAGGTAAAGCAGGGTATGATGGGTTGAAATTAGAAGCGGCGAATATTGTCGAAATTGTTTAATTATCAGCGGAGGTCATCGTTCATCGTTCGGAAACCAATTGGCCCGTGGATGGGGACGGTGGGAGATCGCAAACTCCCGTGATGCTAAATTTACGCGTTTCGAATTCCCCTAATCAAATTTTCACCGCATTAAGCGTAATTAGGGCAGGAATTACAACGGCGGTGTTCGCTGGGTAGAAAGGGGGGTGTTTTACACGGGAGATATACTCTCGGCCGTCCGGCAGTCCCACTTCGTTTCCACTTTATGAAATTTTAACGAGTTTCACCATCGTCATTTTTACTAATGTTCACCTCTGAATTATTGCCTTTCTAATTGCTCTTTGTATATTTTCTTCTTCTTCTTTTTTAACTTAACCGGAGAGTTTAATTTTAGAGGAAAGCGCCCATTAATAGGTCGAGCTGCTTTTATAAATAGGTAAAATTATATTCACACTCTCTTTTTTCTCAGATACCAGATCGTAATAAAGATTCTGCTTTATTAAGCACGAATATTAAAAAATAAGAGAAAATCAATTCTCCCATTTCCATCTCATTTCGCAACGCCGGATCCATATCTAAAACGGATACAACGGAGTTTAAACTGTCAGTTTCAAGGTTCGTCTGGTCACAAACTGCATAAAAATAATAATAAATCTTCGTGCAAAACGCATAAAACTAACTACTGAGAGGGTACCCAGGCGGAATTTATCATGTGCCGTCATTCGTTACTGTACAGCATGTTTCACACTAACTCCATAAACACGTCTTAATTCCGTCGTCTTGAATCAATTGACAATTTTTTATAACCAAACTATTTAGCTTTATTTGGTCAGACCTTATTGGTGGTGATGTAGGTGATGTAGGTTTCAGAAAAACATTTTCTTTATCGTGCCAACGTTTCGATTTTTTCGATCTTTTATTGAGATCATCTTCAGGGCCTGGGATTTACAAACAATGTTTACATTTAACAATTACATTTAGGATGTGGAAAAGTGAATTTATACAATGCAAAATATATTTTATATTCAAACAAAGTATTTCTACTCACTCAAAGTGTTTGTCTTCTGTGTAATTGTAATCCTTCCCCACCCCTTCAAAACCAAACATATATAAACATAAAACAGCAAAATCTCACTGGCACTCTCAACACGACACGCAAGGATGGCACAATTACACAGAAGACAAACACTTTGAGTGAGTAGAAATACTTTGTTTGAATATAAAATATATTTTGCAATGTATAAATTCACTTTTCCACATCCTAAATGTATTTGTTAAATGTAAACATTGTTTTTAAATCCCAGGCCCTGAAGATGATCTCAATAAAAGATCGAAACGTTGGCACGATAAAGAAAATGTTTTTCTGAAACCTACATCACACCCGACCGCATCTCACGATATCTGAATAACTATCGATTATCGGTCACTAATCTCTACACATATAAATAATCTAAAAAATAACTTTTTTGAACGTTTGAAAATGTAAAATAATATAAAAACAGGTGTATAAAAATATCCTTAAGTTAGTTCTTCGGCCTATATTCGACTGCCTAATAGTTACAAAGTCAAATTACAAGGCGGCTCACATTTTTATTGGAGGTCCGAAAAGCATAACGCAAGAATTATTAAAATTGATAAAAATCACCTAACAACCACAGCTTTTTAATGCACCAACTTCATACTATATTTTTGAAATTTTTTCATTCCCTCGCATTAAATATACATTCGGGGATAATTATTTATTGGACATGACTTAGTTTACTGTCAAGCTTACAAATCCTGTCTTTATAAAATTATAATTAAATACGTTCAACTTTTAAATGGAGCGATTATGGTGATTATGAGATTTCCTGGGTTCTGCGGGGTGATGAACCTGTATCTGGTCGTTTCCGATCATTGTCTATATATACACGAGTGAAATAGGTTAAATTAAGCATAAAAAAGTTAAAAGTCAATTAAAATTGAAGTTTGGCTGACAGGCAAACAACAGCTTGGATAGGTGGACCAGGATGATCACACCACAGACCTAAACAAGAAATTTTGCTGAATTGATAGACCTTGACTAGAGATAAATTATTTTTTTAACTTAGAAATCAATGTGTGGTGTTTAGTTTACCGTTAGTCAATGATTATTCGGAGATCGTGAGACCGCATCTTAAATCTCCGAATAATCATTAGAAATCAATGAAAAAGTATAATCCCCTAAACTTCCAGGGATGTCGAGTACTCTGAGGGAGTGAGAATGAATGTATAAATGAAATTTATTAGTGTTAATTAAGGGGCTTATCCCCCAATTACCCCAAAGAATATCGAGTAATCTCGGGTAGAGTGAATGCTGACCAAACTTATGTTCTTTATCTTGACTCTAGGTTTCTGTGTATTTCTGTTTGTTATTTGTATTATTTTATCCACCATTGAGGAGGCCTTGAGATAGAGTAACAACAATAGTATAAAAACAAGAAGGAGTCAACTATTATCTTAATTGCCCTGATCATGACTTAAAACGCAAGAAAGATAAGAAAAGAAAAGCAAAGACTAAAACTACAAAAAATTTGTAATATTTACCATTAGCCGTTACCTTAAATTGTCAGAAGTTAGATAAAACTGATTAATTTAACGAAATAAATGTGGAATGTGCATCTGCATGGGCATCATACCAATTAAAATTAACATAACAAATATAAGGACCGTGGTACATTATATAAAATATTCATCATATTTTGGTAGACACTTGTGGAATTTGACAAAGTAAAGTGTTTATAGTTTATCTTAGAATTTTATATTAAGAATTGCTTTGTAAGAAATATATAATTAATTGATGAACTTAATTTCTAGTACAACGTATCTTTTGACGTAGGGGAGAATTGTAATAGTGCTTAAAAGTGTAGTACTTTTAGCTAGAAGTTTTCAAATTGGTTTTAATCTACAGAGTCGATTAATTACTTTTGGAATGTATCTATTGCAGGATGGATACGTTTGAATTAGTCTATCATGCTCTCCTCGCTGAGCATTGAAATGTTTTCAAGAAAAGTCGTAAATCATGCTAGGACCGCTTCTACATATAGTCGGCTTTAATATTTACAGTCCCGCGGCCGAATCGGTGGATAAAGAACGGGCGATTTTAATTGTTTCGCTCCTTTTCCTCCGGGCTGTTCTCGGATTGAATTGTTATCTAAATGGGACGGGCCCGCCCATTCCCGCCGAGAGCGACCTTTTGAGCAACAACCTTTAATTTGTGACATTTCAAATGGTGGCATTTCCCTTCTGCACCGTCGCGGCCGCGGGTGCCGTTTTTTTACCGACCTATGGGAAATCAACACTAGTAGCCTGGTATTTCCGATTGTTCGCATGAATCAAGCATCACGCCAAAGATTAAACGTCACTATTTTTAAATTTGAACCTAAACGAATATGCCCCGTAAATATTTTACAAGGACAGTTTATTAATGATCAATGAGTTTACTTTAAACATTGATTCCATTTTAATGAGATATTTAAAATGAAAATACTAAAAAAAATACTCTCCGATTTTTTAATGCCAGTGCCATATTATCCATTGTTAAGGCCAACTTGAACCCCACAACCTTAGAAATAACTATGTTATTTCGAGTCCACTACTATTGCTCCTATTGAGTGCCCTCAGTTCTTGAAAAAATAATTCTATCTGTAGCGACATATATATATATATATATATTGACCATGTGGGTAACAACCACTAGCCGACGTGGTTCTGTAGTATGGTCGATCCCAGAGTTGCAATTTTTCTTCCACTCAAATTTATTAGTAAAACTAACGCACTCATGGTTACAATCATTGTTGGGTCCAATTCGCACTGAGGCGATCGGTATGAGAGACGCGTATGCGATACCGGTATGAGATACAAAAAGTATCCAGGCGACTCTCCTGGCGAGTAGATTCAGTATCCTCCTCTCCATCTCGTCTCGATCCTCTCCCAAACGATTGAAAGACCTAGATGTTTGATTCTGTCATATTTTTATAATGGACGAGTTAGAAGCTGTAGTTCTTTATCATTTAATTAGACGAAAAACAAGTAAAAGTAGAGTAACGTTGGTTCAC